ATATATATATATATATATACGTATATATATATACATACATATATATATATCATGATATATCATGTAGACATGGTCAAGATGATCTGCTGCTATTCAAGAATGATTGTTAGTGCCAGACGGGCTGGTCTGAGTATTTCAAAAACTGCTGATCTACTGGAATTTTCACGCACAATAATCTCTAGGGTTTACAGAGAATGGTCAGAAAAAGAGAAAATATGCAGTGAGCAATTCTGTGGGCGCAAATGCCTTGTTGATGTCAGGGGAGAATTGCCAGACTTGTTCGAGCTGATAGAAAGGCAACAATAACTCAAATAACCACTCATTACAACTGAGTTATGCAGAAGAGCATCTGTGAACACACAACACTTCTAACCTTGAGGCTGATGGGCTACAGAAGCAGAAGACCATACCGGATGCCACTCCTGTCAGCTAAGAACAGGAAACTGTGAGGCTATAATTCACACAGGCTCACCAAAATTGGACAATAGAAGACTGGAAAAACGTTGCCTGGTTTGATGAGTCCCGATTTCTGCTGCAACATTCGGATGGTATGGTCAGAAATTGGCATCAACTACATGAAAGCATGGATACATCCTGCCTTGTATCAATGGTTCAAACTGGTGGTGTTGGTGTAAAGGTGTGGGGGATATTTTCTTGGCACACTTTGAGCTTATTAGTACCAATTGAGCATTGTGTCAACCCCATAGCCTACCTGAGTATTGTTGCTGACCATGTACATCCCATTTTGATCACATCTTCTGATGGCTACTTCCAGAAGGATAACGCACCATGTCAAAAAAGCGGGAATCATCTCTGACTGGTTTCTTGAACATGTCAATGAGTTCACTGTACTCAAATGGCCTCCACAGTTACCAGATCTCAATCCAATAGAGCACCTTTAGGATGTGGTGGAACGGGAGATTCTCATTATAGATGTGCAGCTGTCAAATCTGCAGCAACTGTGTGATACTATCATGTTGATATGGTCCAAAATCTCAGAGGAATATTTCCAGTAGATGAATCTATGCCAAAAAGGATTATATATATATTAATAAATATATATATATATATATATATATATATATATGTATGTATATATATGTATATATATATATATATATATATATATATATATATAGAAATATATATATGTATGTATGTATGTATGTGTGTGCGTGCGTGTGTGTGTGTGTATATATGTATTTATATATTTAATCCTTTGTAGCTTTTTTTGTTTGTTTTGTTTTCTCAATTTGAGTCATTTAATATTATACTATTTAAGATAAGCTATTAATTTATTTTTTGCATTACTTTTAGTTATCTGGGTAAGTTTTTCCCAAAGTGTTTCATGTTTTAAAACATTTAAATTTATGTGATTTGTGTTAATATATATGACTTATATAATTATTTTTTTGTGAATAAATAATTTAACCTTTTCCATTAGTATTACCTAACTATTTTAAAGATAAATTATTATTACACTCAAACAATGTATTGATGAATATTTAAAAAAAAGTTTTCTCCTGGAATAATATCAGGATTTTATTCACACATTAAGATAAAATCTAATCATCATGTACTGGCCCTCGGGGTGGTTTCAAACCTTTTATTACTTTTTTTTTTCTCTTGAACACAGAAGAAGATATTCTGAAAGAAATTTGGTATCCATTTGCATCCATAATAGGAAAAACAAACAGGTCAATGGTATCTAACATTTTTCAAACAATCTTCTTTTTTGTGTTCAACAGAAAAAAGTGAATGACAAGCACATGACAGAATTTATTTTAGATTTTTATTTATTCAATTTTTAATTAGACTTTCTTTGCTTGCATTCTAATAATGACATTTGATAACCTTCATATCTAATACAGTAAAGCAGTTTTTGTTGTTGCATGTTGTTTCAGCTCTGATGCACCTCCAACATTCAGCCTGCGGGTGGAGCTCTACAGCTGCTGTGTGGAGGAGGACTTCAATGTGGGTTTCTCCTCACGAAGGCTCAGCCGGTTGGGAAGCTCAAGCTCCTCCACTAAGAGGCTCTCCTCAGCTTCCAGCAGCACATCTGGATCAGCAGGAGGCAGCAGTTCACCTGGAGGAGAATCTCCAGTTCTGCCGCCTGCGCTCTCTTTGCGGTAAGCTAAAAACAATATATACATGTGTCATTACTTACATGTCTCATACAGCACACCGTATCTATGCAAACACAGATACACAACACTGGGAAAGTGTTCAAAGTTGTCTACCACTCGAAACCAGTTGACAAACATGAGATAAACGCATGAGAATTGAGTGTCAGAGCAGACAGACACACCTTCAGATGTTTATTTTCAAAGCACTCGCTCTGTCTGAGAGCAGGGCCAAGAAAAGCAGAGTCTAGGGTGAATATTGAAACTAGTTAAATGTTTTGGAGTTGAATTTTTTGTCTGGGGGGTTTTCGTATAATATTTTCTTTGTCTTTTTTATCATTAACATGTATATTTAGCTTTTTGTCAGAAGAATAAAGCAGTTTTTGATTAATTTTCAATGATTTTTAAATGTAAAATATTTACACTTATGTAAAATGGTGTTTATTACACATTTTTGTACAAAAAATATTTGATATTTAGACTTAATAATAATAACAACTTCATGTTCATTCATTTAGTCATGTTTAGGGGTTGATTTAGTTAGCTGTTGTCTAAAAAAATTGAATAAATAAAATAAAATAGTTTATAATAAAATATTTAATTAAAAATGTACTTTATAATAATATTCTAATATAGCATACTTTATATATATATATATATATATATATTGTAAATGAGCAATATCATACGAGTAGCAGTGTGATATGGCTGCATATGGACACTGGTGGGAGTCGTGCATTGGCTTGAGGCCACAGGCCGAGTGCCTTTGTGTATCTCCATGCATGATATACAGCCATATCGCACTATTACGAGTGTGATATTGTTTTTAATATACAACAATTCGATGGCATAGTGTCAATCAAACACGGAGAGTCTCAAAAACTCTTTTGTCTAAGAAGCTACTTTCTTCCGCCATTCGTTCTCATTTGTAGCTGACGACAGAACAGCAGAAACTGTTGCTACTTCACAAACGTCACTTTATTGCTGGTGTTTGAATGATTCCCTAGCATAATGTCTAAAGTGATGACAAAACAGGTGATTTTGCTGACATTTTAAGATTATAAGGCTGAACGGCATGATATGCCATCAGTGTACAGAGATTCCCCAGTATTTCTTTGCTGATATTAACCCTGAAAAAACCCCAAAGCAAAGCAAACACTAGCAAATTACTATGATGTAAATACAGCACTACAACATACAAAAGAGAGAAATCGACTTAAATGTCACTTACCTGCCTTATGCTGCATTCACACCAGATGCGGAACGCGCATCAATCGTGAGTGATTTACATGTTAAATCAATGCAAACTGGCGATTAGACATCCTGCGGCGCAATACACGTGAATGGCTTGAATGGCGCAGCGCGATTTGAGCGTTTTGCGTGTTTCGCGCAAATTGCTCGTTCAAAAAAAAAAATTCATCAAACTGGGCTCGGATCAGTCAGAAAACCTCCGTCATCCAGGTTCAGTTTCTGGAGGAGTTTATGAGCTCACAGATCTGGAAGCGGGAATGAAGAGAGTAAACTCAAATGTTTACGCTGCTATTTACGTGCGAATAGCGTGATTTATAAATGTTCCGCACTTTCGGAATATTGCACATCTATCAGTCAATCAGATTTGAGAACCAGACAGATCTGTTGTATATGTATAAATATATAAAATGCTTGAGAACAATAAATCATCTCAAGTTCAAAGACAAACACTTTTTGTCAGTCCTAAAAGTTTTTAAACCACGTCAATTTTTTTGTTGTTTTGCATTTCAAACAATCTTCAGTCAATGCAACTTTGCACACAGAGACCCTTAAAGGTCCTGTGAAGTTAAAATATAATTTTTTTAGATGTTAAAGGGCACCTAGTTTAGCCCTTTTCTAAGATTTATTATTAATATTCTGTTTTTTCTGAGTGTGCAAGTTTAAGTTCAGTTCAAAACACAATTCAGACTTTTTTTTTTTTAGGGGTGTGTTGCTTCACATGAAAATTAGTTTTGACTTCCCGTCCAACTTAACAAGGGGGCGGAGCCAAGAGCTCCCCTGCTTTGTGGTTGGCAACAGACAGGCAGACAGACATAAGCAACATGAGTGAGAGGACCAGCATTCAGTCGTACATGTACAACTGGGACACAGTTCAAGCACAGAGTACACGATCATTTGTGTCTTTGTATAGTTTTACAGCCAAATGTGTATTAGTTTAAAATTCCGAGCTTGTACACCAAGACTAATACCCACGCACACTGAATTTACTTTGACTGAGTCACCGGATGCGCCGCTCACAGCCCCGACATGGCAAACCAGACGCGCACATTCGCATGCTTTTTAAAATGAAACTATTCAGATGGCGCTCTGTGGTGCGGCAGAAATATGAACAGTGTCCTGAGTCGTGGCCTGGCGCCGCAGACAGCTGCCGACTTGAGGCATCATTGTGTGTACCCTGATAGAAACCTATGTTTAGAATTCTAATATGCATGGCGTTATGTGCCGCCGAGTGGCACTTCTGGTGTGCGACCTTCAGGCAAATTCATTAATTTATTTCCAATGGAGGGACGCGCATGTGAGGCAACACACGCGCACTTTCCAGTTGCACCTAGTTAAGATCACAGGGAGATTCTGTGACGCCAAGAAATGCAAACCGCTGAAGTTTATGGAAGACGCAATGAAAAGTACACATGTTTGCAAACCCACGTAAAGTTACAAACAATGGAGCAGATGAGAGTGATCATGTGGTGAATGTTGATCTTGTGTTGAGCCCAATGAGCCTTGCATCTAAAAATAGAGCAAGGGTGTTTCTTTGGTGACATTGCTTTGACTCACACGCTGAAAATGGCGGACTGGTCGACCCCAGTGGTGTAGTGGTTTGTGCGTCGACACATGCACTCCGGTGCTCACGGCGACCCGAGTTCGATTCCCGCCTCATGGTCCTATGCCGATGCTTCCCCTCTCTCTGCTTCCCATGCTTTCCTGTCAATACTCTCTACTGTCCTATACAATAAAGGTGAAAACCCCTAAAAAAATAAAAGAAATAAAAGAAAATGGCGGACTGAAACGACAAACTGAGGATATGGTTATGTGCGCCTGGCAATCAGTATTGGTGGACGGGGGAACCACATTCCTACGTCAAGTTGCGGTCAATCTAAAAACCGCTCTAATTGGTCCACCATTTTTATGTTGTTAAATTAAAAAAAAAAAAGCACTATATGCTTATGTGTTTATATCACCCCAATATGACGGTCTATACAGTATACCTGCACATATGTCTGTCCAAACAGCTTAAAAAGTATATTTTTCTCCATAGGTTCCCTTTAATATCAATATGCTCTTTTTAAGGATATCTACAGTGTACACTGGTCTGCTCTAAATGGTGATGAAGTTCGCATTTAGAAGATATAATCCTGATATAAACATCCAAAGTTTGTCACTTCCGCCTAAATAGATAAAAAAAATTTTTATATCACCTCATACTTCAGTTTCTCATCAAATCTTGACCAATCAAATGCTCTCCAGTGTATCTGACATGTCTCGCACCCTTCAAAAAGCTTGTAATTTGGTTTTCATTTGATGCGCTTCAGCTCAAACACTCTCACTGGCAGAGCTGTGATAAAAAAAACACTTCTAGCTGCTTTTTAAATAAAGGAGAGTAGCTACTCTATGTTCTGCTCTCTCTTCATGTTTCAGCTACGATTACGTCAAACATATAAATAAAATGAAAATGCTTATTGAAAAAAATTTCACAGAATCTTTAATGTCATCTCTTGTCTTCAGGGGTCCGAAATATCATCTCCTGGCCCACACCACTCTGAGCCTGAGCCATGTGCAGAGCTCTTTCCGAACACACGACCTGACAATAGCAGACACTGGTGAGAAAATCACACATTCAGCATTTAATGGTCATGGAAACTATTCAGTGTTTCAAACTACAATTAAAAATCTCTTTTTGATCTGTGTTTTAGAGGAGTCTTCATTCTGGTTGCCGCTCTATGGAAATATGTGCTGTCGTCTGGTTGCTCAGCCTCTCTGTATGATTCAAAATGTCATGTGTGGACAGCTCAGAATTCGGGTTTGTAAATGATGATTTATTACAGCATTTTTATACTATTTTCCAGTTGACATATCTGTAAGCCTCGAGCCCTTGGTTATGTTAGTAACTCTAAAAAAAATAGCTGTCTTGAAATGACAGTGAGTGTGTAAAGTCCCAAGATAATTTTCATACACTTTGTTGCATTCGTCAAAGAGCATAGACTATGGAGTGATGCAATACATCAAACATTTCAAACAAAAAATGTGGATGACAAGATTAATTTAGAAGTTGAACAGATCATAGTGCAAAAGATACATTTAAAAAAATAACTAATTTCATGAACATTTCATGAGTTTAATTGAGGGCAGGATTTCCATTCAATAGATTTGTTTAGCACCAAAACTATTTACACAATTAAATACAATTGAGTTGGTCCAACTTGATTTATCAAATAAAAGTTTCAATACATTTGTATTGTGTTTAACTTAAACTCAAAGGTCTGATAATATCATGCATGTCTATGTGTCGCACATTTCAAAGTCTCTTGATCCTAAATGAACTAAAAGAGCCATTTTAAGCATATTTCATGAGTTACATATACAGTTGATTGAGACCTAATTGGACTAATTGTAGGAGAGTTATTGTTCACTGTGCAAAGCAACAAACTGCATTTTAGCTAATAAACTGCCAACACCCAAAACATGGGCACTTCTGCAAGGTGGTAATCTCAAAACTCAAAGCATTACATGAAACTCTTCTAAATCTTTGAACTAACGTGAAGATTAAACTCTAACAAGTCTTTCTATTAAGTTTAAACACTTAAAATTACTTTTATTGTCATCTTTTCCTTCTGTTAATTCAGTCCCACTCACAGCATGCTGGGAACTACAAATCCCCTTACCTGTAGTTGGACCAACACAATTCCCTTATTTTGTCCCAACAGAAAATGCTTTAGTTAACCTTCTGGTTTACAAATTTAAGTGGACTGAACATAAAACAAATAAACTGGCTAAAGAAATTACAAGAATCGTGTTGTTTCAGCTCATTTTAAACGGTAGTTTGAACAAGCAGTAATAGTTTTTTTTTTACTGTAGAAGCCTCATCCCAAGCATTTTTTGTGTCCATTTAAAAGATGTCTAATAGACATCAAAACATAGATGTCCAGGCTAAAACGGGGCTAATTGGGGCTAAAATCTAATAGATGTGTAACAGTAGTCCAAAAATAGACTAGTCATCGGATACACTGGAAGGAATGATGGCACGTGTGAAGTCTGTTAAAACTGTGGATCTGATAACTAGTCTATTTTTGGACTATTGTTAGACGTCTATATTTTCCACTGACAGCCCAAATTTAGCTTTGTTTTAGAAAAGACGTCTATGTTTGGACATCTGCTAGATGCCTTTTAAACATCTTTAAGAATTGTTTGTTTCCGTCATCACAATTGCAGATGAAAACATCCAGAATCAACACTGTTTTTACTGTATTTACAATAAACTAACTGCTAGTGGCAGTTAACTGTAGCTAACACTGGATTGAGCTAGCTAACATTAGTGATATGTAATTTACCTGAGGCAGAGGCTGTGTTGCTATTACAGTTAAATTGCTTTAGGTGACATTAGCATTGTTGTTTGTTTGGCTTACTGTACCTTAGAACAAATCTTTGTTTATCTTCTGGAAGTACAGTAAACTTAGTCTAAAGTCCCTTTAAGGCATGTCATTTTACTCTGTGGTCATCTTTGAAACACCACTCAGGCAGTATGCTCGGGCATTCAGTTTGAATGGGGAAGCAACAAATTCTTCAAAAAAGCTTAGGAATGAATTTGATATTAGGAATCACCAATAAAACTAAACAACAGCTGTGTCTTTAGTTTCATTTCTAAACGTTCAAATCACAAAATCTGCAGAAACTCACGTCTAGTGCGAGCCCCTCCCCCAGAGAATCCTCAGTCTATCCGCTTGTTAAGTGGTGACGTGTTTGTGACGTATGTAATACTGTTTCTGGGTCCAAGCCGCCATTCATTTGAGTGAAGAAATCAATCGTTTATGATCACGTTTTATTCCTATTACACATTAAAGTTAATTTTATATAAAATCATAGTGTACACAACAATCTCTGGGCTTGCTGCATAACAAATATCAAAAATTTAACAATTTATAAAATAGTTAATCACTTTCTGGCCATCAGATATTAGGCATGGACATATATACTGCGATCGTGATTTTCGAAAGCACTAAATCGCTTTGTAAACGTTTACTATTACCATTTCATGAGTCTCCCCATTCAGTTGAATAGAGCGATTGGACCTGGAAGCTGCTTCGCGTGACGTCACACTTAACAAGCGGATAGCAATTTATGATAGGCTCCTGTACTAGAAGGCGGGGCTTCATTCGCCAAACTGATTGTTACACTTTTCCCCCTTCAAATCTACGAGTGACGTGTCCTGTGTATTCTATAGTCTTTGTTTAGTTATAGTTTAGGGAAAAGAATAAAATACATTTATTTGCCTATTATCTCAGGATACCTGGAATCAGTGTTATAAATACTCCAGGCACATCACTTATGAAGTTTGTGTCATTAAAAGATATCAATCCAAACATTTTCAATGTTTCTTTATGGCGGTGAGACTTAAAGACATCAGAATTCTGGTCATCATGCAAATGAATCTCAGCTTTTCCTTGGCTCATCTGTGTTTAAGCAGAGGGGCTTACGAATAGGTCAATTCCCTGTTCATTCATTCATTCATTCATTCAGTCATGTTCTGATATTGTAGAATTATATGTAATCCTGAGTCATCATTTTTGTTGATCCTGTAATGACCCTGCTCTAATCCCTATTTTCTGAAATTAGAGGGAAATAATGAATAATAACAGTGACGAAGCACCTCTGATTTCATGCTCGAACTTAAAGAGGACCTATTATGACACTTTTTACAAGATGTTGAATATGTCCCTAGTATCAGGATTCTGCCAGGTCTTGTCAGTTCTTGTTTTGGTGGCAGAGTCCAGACACTAGTCACTAGTCCTGTCCTGTCCTGTCGTGTGTTGTGCTCGACTCCAGTTTTCCAATGAGCGCCGTCTTGATGTGGGCCACGAGTTCTGTGTGTGCTCGGGATGCGCGCTCTTGTCCTAGTGTTTGTGTTTGTTCTGTCTGCAACATGCTGTTTCATTCTCAGCGTCTCAGTCTTGTTGGTTTCAGTTGGCGCTGGGATGAAACATGCACATTGCATTTATGAGTGCACGATGAATGTTTTTCATTTATTGTGTACTTGTGTCTTGCGTTCAGTCTTCTGTTGGTGTTGTGTTTAGTTCATGGTTTATGTTTACATGCGCCGCATGCTTTAGCGTTTTGTTGCATGTGAATATGCGGTTAATGAGTTGTTCTAGTCCAGTTTTACATGAGCACATCACTTGTGTTGTATAATTGTCATGTGCTCTCCCGTCTATTGTCCAGTCCCATTTCCCTTGTTAAACCCATTATTAGTTTATCCTGTTCACCTGTTTGTTTGTTAATTCTTTCTCTTTATAGTCTCCTATTGTCTGCTATACTGTGACAGTTCGTTGTTGTATGTTGTCCTGTCGTGTCCAGCTCTGTCCAGCCCTGCTCTTCCATACCAGCCCAGTTTATTTGTTTTGTTAATCCATCTGGGGTTTTTTTTGTTCTCCTTTTGTTAAATTTTATCAATAATTAATTAATTAAAAAATCCTTTCCCCACTCACTGAAAGTGACATCTAGAGTGTATATGTGAAGGTCCAGCTGTGAAGGTGACGTTTTGGTGACTGTCACTTTAAATTCAAATGAGATTGCACTCCCACGCCCTCTTTTTAAAAGAAGGCGGAGCTACAAGCATCTATGTGCATTATGGCAACAGTAGCTTCTTACTCAGGGCTGTCTATGCTAATGAGAGAGAGATTATTACTAATGCACATGGCTTTCCTCCTATGATGATGCATACATTGGGAGAATGTCAATCAAAATGTTTCTGTGGACTGCTTTTCTGATGTGTGATTATAAAAATGAGATTTTAATGAATTTCTTCTATTAGAATCTGGCTTAATTCACACAACTGTGTTTAAACACCTTAAAAAGGGATTTGTGCATAGCAGGTCCCCTTTTACAGAATCTGCAAACCCTTAAATGTGATTGGTTGATTTCAAAGTTTGTTCCAGGAACATTAAACTCACCTAAAACCATATACTGCATTCATTTCACTTTCAACTGCTTTTGCACCCAAGTCAGAAAGCAATCCTGAGGACTGGAGAGATGCCTACGGTGTCCTGAGTGGGTCATTTTTAAAGTGTTACCAGCAGCAAGAAGAAACAGACTCTTTAGAGACGCCGGTGTTTACTATTCCCATTAATAAGGTGAGAATTATGCATGTAATATCACAGTAGTTGTAGTTGCATCTAGTCACCAATAGATGCCTCTGTTTTGTTTATGTCCTACAGTACTGTGTGTGTATTCCAGCACAAAACATGTGAAACGAGCTGCACATGTCTTTCAGGCTTATGTTCAACAGCATAGTTTTCTAAGTTGTTTACTAAGCTACTTACTGTTTACCATCAAATGCATTGTTGTTATTTATGACTCGTAGGAAACCCGTGTGCGTGCCACTGAGAGAGACCCGGCTCTGCATGCTCAGAGTATTTCCATAACCAGCCAGTGCGAAGGTGAAACCACGTACACTATTGTCACAGCCACATCTGAAGACACGCATAACTGGATGGAAGCCTTCTGGCAGCATTTTTACGACATGAGTAAGTCGAGCCCCAGAGATTTCCAATAATGAGCATGGTATCAACGCAGAACACACCTGTAGTATCACAGTAGTTCAGTATCTCTGTCCGTCCGTCCGTCCATCCATCCATCCATCTATCCACCCATAGTTGTTGTCTGTTTGTCTGTCTATCTATCTATCTATCTATCTATCTATCTATCTATCTATCTATCTATCTATCTATCTATCTATCTATCTATCTATCTATCTATCTATCTATCTGTCTGTCTGTCTGTCTGTCTGTCTGTCTGTCTGTCTGTCTGTCTGTCTGTCTGTCTGTCTGTCTGTCTGTCTGTCTCTCTCTGTCCGTCCGTCCGTCCGTCCGTCCAAACAGCTATAGTAGTTGTCTGTCTGAGTCTGTCTGTCATTAAAACTTGCTCTGTTTGTCTGTCTGTCTGTCTGTCTGTATGTCTGTCTGTATATGTATTTCTGCCATTTAAACTTGCTCTCTGTCTTTCTGTCTGTCTGTCTTTCTGACTGTCTTTCTGTCTGTCCGTCTGTCTGTCATCTAAACAGCTATAGTAGTTGTCTGTGTCTGTCTGTCTGTCATTAAAACTTGCTCTGTTTGTCTGTCTGTCTGTCTGTATGTCTGTCTGTATATGTATTTCTGCCATTTAAACTTGCTCTCTGTCTTTCTGTCTGTCTGTCTGTCTTTCTGACTGTATTTCTGTCTGCCCGTCTGTCTGTCATCTAAACAGCTATAGTAGTTGTCTGTCTGTGTCTGTCTGTCATTAAAACTTGCTCTGTTTGTCTGTCTGTCTGTCTGTCTGTGTATGTATGTCTGTCATTTAAACTTGCTCTCTGTCTTTCTGTCTTTCTGACTGTCTTTCTGTCTGTCCGTCTGTCTGTCATTTAAACAGCTAGAGTAGTTGTCTGTCTGTCTGTGTGACCATTCATCCATCCATTCACAGCTATAGTAGTTAGTAGTAATCTGTCTGCCTATCTATCTGTTGTTTCTCTTTTTCTATCTTTCCTTTGTTTTATCATTAAATCACTCTATATTTGTGTTTAATGTAGAATTTCATGTTTGTTCATGTATTTTATATGTTAATCATTTTCATGTTGACTTTATTGTCTAAATTGTACGTCTAATTTGTCAAAAATGTGCTCCACATTCTTTTGGCACCGTGCAAACGGTGGTATGTTCAAAAAATGTATCTTTAAAAAAATCTGGCCCTTCATCATTTTGCAGATTTCCTTGTCGTAACTAAATGCCAGGTGTTTATCTAACATGTTTTTCAGTGCACATCGCAAACACTTTTTTTCTGATATACTCTGTTTGATGCAGTGGCAGTCATAGATAGCCTTAATCTTAAAGATGCATGTCATTTTCTACAGCCAAACTCTTAAGCAGAAATGCAGTGTCATGCCTGTTGTGTACTCTTTCAAAAACTAGCCCTTTTTCTAAATAGCATGCCTTTATTTTGATTTGGATGAAAACTGTTGCCCACACTTACTGTAAATACGTGATTTGCCTTATACAGCGTGGGTGTCTGCTATCCCTTGGTGGAATTGTGAAATTCTACTCGTTATAGTCTATTCAGAGTTTTAATCATGATTTAACAAATGTAACATTTTGGAGTTTTTAATTATTAACTCTTAAAAGGAATAGTTCACCAAAAAGGAAATATTACACCATTTTTCTTGCCCTCAAGTGGTTCAAAACCTTTATGAGTTTCTTTATTCTGTTGAACACTAAAGAAGATATTTTGAAGAATGTTAGAAACCGGTAACCATTGATATCAATAATAGAAAAAAAGAAAGAAAAATGGAAGTCAATGACTACCAGTTTTCAAGATTTTTCGAAATAACTTCAATAGAAACAAAAGAAACTCCGTTTTCATTATTGGGTGAACTATCCCTTTACTTTCAACCTATGCTTTGTATTTGCCAAATGCAAAACATTGAATCGAAGGAGAATTAAATTGAGAGAGTTTTAATATTACAGTTTTAGGTTTTAAGGTTTACAGTTTTAGAAGTTTGGTGTACTAGTCAAGAAACGATCAACTCAAGTCTCGGACTGGCTTGTTTTAAAGCCAATTGCTAGAAAGCCCCAGACTTTTGATGCAGGTAGTGAAAGTTTCAAGATATTGCACATGCAAGAATTTTTACACGTGACCTTCGTAAGGAATCCTGCCTGTTGCTTTACAGTCTGGCAACAGGTTTTAAGACCAGTTTGACTTATTTGCTTTTTCTATTGTGAAATCTGCATTGATATCTGAAAAGGTGAAGGCTCACGCTTGATTTATTTACTTTTCGCATATATGCTTTTTGAAGTTCTTTATAGTTTTTATCAGTCGCTTTGGTACATTTCTCAAATCATTCTTAAAGTTTACAATTCTCAGAACAACTTCTACGATTAGAAAAGTCTCTTTTACCTGTCTCTTCTGGTATCTAGCTCTCAAAAATGAATACCAGTGTCAATATACATGTCAAAGTCATCAGTATAACAAGTCCTTGAATCATTGTGTAGGGATTAAACGGTCAAATTGATTAGATGTGTTGTCAATATGACAGTGTGCTCGATGTTCTGATGTAAAATATGGCTCGTTTTTGACAATTAGGGTACAGCTTAGTTTGTGTGTTGGAGCTTGATACACATTTATACTTTTACTGTTTGTACTGTAATACCATTACAGAAAGGAATAGACAGAAAAAAAAACAAAAACACAAGTAGAAATGTGAACAAGACAATCTTAAGATTGATTTAGGAACTAAAAAAGTCAGATGGAAATGTATAGAAATATGCTTGACATTATGACAACTTGTTCAAGCCTTTTGCAAGTAAAGAACTACTGCCTAAACATTGTGGGGACTGGGTTATTCAACAGAGACCCTTTATAATACATTTTGATTAACATCACTGAAGCAGTTGATCATAGGAAACATCAGAGAGTCAGACATGTGGTCTGCATGGCAAGCATGGCTTTCTAAGAACTTTTTATTTCTAAATGAGAAGAAAACAGAAGTGATTTTATTTGGGCCCAATGATTTGTCTGACTGTAAACGCCCCAGGCTGGGTAACTTGGCGGAGTTCAGATCACCCCAGGTACGTAACCTGGGCATAACATTAGACCAGAACTTAAAGTTTGACAAACATATCTCAAAAGTAGTGGGAAATAGTTTTTACCAACTCCGCCTTCTTTCAAAAATGAAATCCTCTCTTCCTTCACACTCTCTAAAAATTGCCATAAATTGCGGGAGGTGCTTATAACCTCCCGGTTGGACTATTGCAACTCTCTCTATTAAGTCTCAGATTGCTCGCCTACAGTTAGTGCAAAACGCAGCAGCTAGATTCTTAACAAAAAGCCCGAAATATGCACATATCACTCCTATTCTGAGGTCTCTACATTGGCTACCGGTGACACAAAGAATCGAATTTAAAATCCTTCACTTTGTGTATAAAGCCCTACATGGTCTTGGCCCCTTATTATTTATCCCAACTGATTGTTAAGTACACTCCTCCAAGACACTTGCGTTCCGCTGATCAGTTTTTTATTAAAAGTTCCAAAGGCCCACCTCAAAAGTCGCTGCCTATTTTTAAGTCTAAATTAAAGACACATTTATTTTCTAGGTCCTTTGAAGCATAAGTCCTTCCCTTTCAGAAGGAGGGGGTGGGGGGGTGGGAAGGGGGATCAAAACGGTCATGTTCTCTATCGTGTTTAGTGTTGGTCAACTGTGGTAACATCTTTTAATTAGGAAAAAAATATTTTATTATTATTATTATATTATTATTTATTTATTTTATTTTGCTCTTTTATTGATAATCTTTCTATGCTCATTCCTTTTATGTGTTTATTGCTGTTTTTACTGGTTTATGCTCATATCATGTGTTTATTTTCTCACTGTAAAGCACTTTGTGCAGCCTTGTGGCAGTTGGAAACGTGCTTTATAAATAAATAGAACTTGAACTTGTCTGACAAAGGTCCAGAATTGTCCCATACATGAGCTTATTTGTCCTATTTTGGCTGCTATTCCAGCATGAATTGTGAAAATACCCCATCGAAGAAGGCTTTAAAACCAAGCGGAATGCTCTGTTCGCTGTCTGGACTTTAGCTAATCAGTTTTGGTCAATCCAAACAATTATTTTTCATGAGTCAAACATCTGTGCAAGAAACCCAATCTGATGTAAAGTCATCTTTCACTACTGACCTACTGTATTGTTGTTAAATGAAGAAAACATTTTACAAGTAACTTTTATTCTATATCTTGGACCTTATTCATGAAACAAAAATGATCAATAAAAAGGTGTGAAAAACCAAAGGCGGCCCTTATTGAAGTTTATTTTATTACTAATCCAGCTATTGTTATCCATAAATTTTGAGGAGAATAATCTTGTGAAGCTCTACATTATTATTGTTTATTTGTTGGCTTATTTGTTTATTCAAATGGCCAAATTTTAACTGAGGAAAATTGCTTAAAATGTCATGAAACTGCAGTATTTAAAGCTCATAATTAAATAGAAAATGAGGCAAATAACAGCATAAATGTCCACTTTTTGTTTTATAAAAAAAAGAACCACCCCTTTCAGATGGCTGGCTATGGGCCTAGAGAGTTGTACAAAATCATATGCATGGACATACTAAAGCATTTGCAACTTGTTCAAAGAAACGAGAAACACAATGAAACACAATGATGTGTAGATCGAACGGGGTGTTTTGGAAATTTCAATTCTGATCTGAGAAATGTACCAAAGTGACTTAGAAAAAAATAAAATCTAAGGTATGCAAAAAGCCTTTTAAATGTGACACACCTTTAGTTTTAAAGCTAACAGCAACAGTTAAATGCATTGAGATTTCATTTCCAACATTCTTTTTTTTAGTTCCTTTTTTTCAGCAGGATGTGTTAACAGGTTTAAAAGAAAGGACAGGTACTTTTGTGATGTCTTGATATGGTAAACAAGATAATTGCCTAAAATGCAAACGTGCGCAATCGCATGTGTAGAACCACTTTTTCCCCCTCCCCGAGTATGAGGAACTG